TACCAGTTCATCACATTACTCGAGAACTAAAATACGTATGTATAAATATGTATGTTGCCCTACTTTATTATTATACAGTAAGTAGATTGGCAAAGTTCACAAATTCATTGTTATAAAAATAAACAAATTTATATTAGCTTATAATTATATGCCAGCGTAAATCTCCAAATTTAGGTTACATTTGACCTAATCTAGCCTAGTTTATAAGTTACAGCAATATTGCTATATTCCTAACAATATTTTATAATCCAATTGGAACTTAATTAACATACTCTATACAAGGTTATGTACGGACCCGTTATGATACGGTACGAATAATTGTGATCTAGAACAAGGATGTACAAAATATTGAAGACGTCCTTACTCAGCATCCTAGTACGCCCACAGTTATGGTAATAAATGCATAGTATGATGCTGGTGTCTGTCTAACATGGATACATTGCTCCTATCTTTGTTAAACAATATATTTACTGTGTATGCACATAACGTATAAAGTTATTAGTAAATATTTAAATAAATATCGACATGTGCCACTAAACAATTAACGTTATATTTAAAAATAATCTTCTTTAAATATGACGTTAATTTTAATATAATGTCAATATACTACACGGTACATTTATTATTAAAACCAAAGATATTTAAATATAGTAAATAGAAATAAACCAAAATGTAAATTAATATTCATCTGCTATATATGTATTCTTCATAAAGGGTCTATATATGTTTATAAAGGTTTAGTTATAAAGTTTATAACTTCTATATACTTTATTTAATAATAAAGCTATTACATTCCACTTTATAAATATTACATTAGAATAAAAATATGTTCATAATATATTTCATAATATGCACATTGCACATATTATAATGGTGCATTATAATATCCACAAATATTTCCTTGCTGAACACATAATATACATATATCTTTACTGCTGTAATATATGTAGGTACATACACGGCTGTAATGTGTTGTGACGGCAGATTGTTACATTCTTTGATAGGTATCTTTTAATAAAAATCTAAGGCGTATCATATAAATCAAATTGGATAGTAGCTATATCACAATTTTTTTTAAATGTCTTACCAGTGACATTGGTCTTTTGTCATGATTTTTAATTAAAAATTCTTATCCTTTGACAAGTCAAGATTTTTTAGTTTAAACGAAAAGTATAATAAATTCGACATGAAGATGAATCTGTTTATTGGCTAATTAGACACTGTCCTCATGGTCGAATTCTTAAATCTATGTCATGGTTACAATTATACGGAAATACCGAGTCGTGATTTCAAATAAATTGTTGTTATTATAAATAATATTGCTGCAGTTTAACAATAACTGTAGATATGAGTATATCCATGTACATATTCATATGTATGTGGTTCATATATGTGTGATAATTAATATTACTATATACTACATTTCTTAGTAATATGTTCATAATATGACATCTATAATATGGATGGATAAAGGTATATCCTCTTTAGTTTCTAAGAAACTGAATCTTAAGATACAATCAGTACAACAAAAAGTACAATACCTACATCAAATTCTCAATATCGAATATTTTCTCAGCTTAATCATAGGTGATTATAAGAATCCAACTGTAACACACAAAGCCAAACCCAACAATATGATTGACAACAAAATGCTGCTGATAGTATCGTGACATAGATGTATGTGCTTGCAGCCTGCTTTCACTATCTCAACTTGACATGTACGACGAGTTCGATAAGGCGCGCGTGCGTTGTGACACGAAGAAAACGGTAACCAGTAACGCTAATTGGATTGGATCTAGTTTTATTATAATAAGATCCTAATATTCGGCATAACTTACTTGTCTTTAGGTAAAGAATTTAGAGATAGTTTTATCAATAACATGAAAATTTAATTTTGAACCACCATAAAATGTTAATCGTCTATTCAAATTAACAAAATTTTATTTGTTAATTTGAATATCCAATTCACATTTTATGGCAAGTTTATGAATTATCACTTTATGAATACGTGACTTTGTACTCCTTTTTACGAAAGTTGCGCGGATGGACGAGTATGAAATTTCGCACAAACTATAATTTATATATGGACAAGGAGTGCAGACAGCTATTATGTTTTTAAAGCTATGTTCTTTAAATATGTTAATAAATAAAAGAATATATTACATACACTACCATGTATTTGACACACACACACATAGAATTTAGAAAATAGAACCTTAATAATGTTGAAACATAGAATTAAAATAATTATAGCCGAATTTTGACCATTGGGCGACCACTAGTATTTGTAATTTTATAAATAATTTGATAATTCATTAGTTGGATAACATAATAATAATGAAGAACATTTTTTCCAAAGTAGTAGTTATATTATAATTGTCATTGACAACTTGTTTGAGAGCTAATTTCAAAGGCAAATGTGAATGTATGTATAAAATACAAATATTTAACATATAGCTTTTGGTCTGCCCACGTGCGATCAAACAATTGAGGTACTCTTATGTATTCATAATGAGGATATTTCTTGGTTAGGAATATATTTTATACATTATAGATATACTTTATACATGTAGTCTTAAACAAAATAAATAATATTATGTTTGATATTGAACCGACTCAATTTTTTTTACTTATTCACATTTATGGATTAGGATGACTTATCCATGTTTCAGTCAAGTTATTTATCAACATTTAATTCATATTCATTTAGTCGGTTTAGTAACAAATATATCCTAAACTTTCATATTTATAACATTACCAATAGTAATGGGTAATGTATCTTATAAAACCATTGCAGGAAGTATGAGTACCTGCTTACCTCCGGCTCCATCCTTGGTATATATATATAGTACTGACATTTAAATCATTAAAAATGTCCAGGGTATGACCAATGCAGCAACAAAATAATATAAATGAAATAGACTTTCAAAAAAGATAATCTCAATTTAAATTTACTTTTAGTGTCTGTATTATGTACTTGATATCCTATTCAATTTTACAACATGTGAAGGATACGTCCTCATATCATTATAATTGACTATAGCAATAATTCGTTTCAAGTAGGTACCTATATATTAAAAATTCGCTTAAAAAGTAATGTAAACTAAGTTATTTATATGTATAATATATATAGCTAACTCCGATTCATATTTTAAATGATTATCTAAAATTTAATTAGGTACGTAAATTAATAAATAATGAGTAACCATTGCATGCATATGAAAATGGTGTAAAAATGTACATGAATGAAATGAAATGAATGAATCTATATGAAAAATGTACATTTAAATGACTTAAAAATATATATAAAGTATTGACACAATTTGTAACTAAGTTTAGGAAAAAAAGTCATGACTCACAGATATCAATAACCTGATCTCGTCCGTTAGTGATTGATGCTATATTTGTAACATCTAATAATACCTACCAAATAGATAATCATTTCATTCAGAAACCAGAAGTTTATTTTAATAGGCGGTAATAACATTTGGTTATTGGATTATGATATATTAGTATAAGTTTAATTCCATATAGAATTTAGTGCAATTAGCCATAATGAGCTATGTCTTCCTCATGTTTCAAGGTTCTATTTTCCAGCATGTTAGGAGCTTTGGCGCGGTTTAGTTGGAGTCAAGGGCTTTACCTGCAATTATACTCATAACCTCATGTTTGACCATGATCCCAGGATCGATAACATATACTTGTAATGTATACTTACTTGAGTACCAAATACAAACTTCACATACTCAATTGTATGTGCAAGTATTGTATCATCAGAAATATATTGGTGCCAAATTTAAACTCATAGTGGCTTTGTAGTTGAATCAGTTCCCATTTCATTTCATAAGTAGTAGTTTTTTTTTATTATGACGATTGAAAATTTGTTTACTTAGTTACCATAAAATGAAAAAATGTTTATCTTAAATTAAAGAATGTTAACGAATTTGTTCAAATATTCCCGCAGCAATAGGGATGTAACCATATCACACAGTATAGAAAGGACAAATAAGAATGCCTCTGACTACTAGTTTTCGAACGTAGGTCATGAAATTTCTTTTAATTTTGTTCATTATTAATGAATTCAAAATATAGTTCAAATAATAGCAGCAATAAACATAACAGAAATTCGTCCAAATGTATTAATATTAAAAGTAAAAATAAATCATAGTTTTAAGTTACACTTCCGAATAGAACCTTGACCCATCGGAAGCGGAAGCAACCTCAAGGCCGCGGGGAAATGTTCTCGTGACTGCTCTACTGGTTGTAATGTAATCGCATAAACTTAATGTCAAGTTGTTGTTGTCATAAAAATAAGATTAAGTCACTGCGAAGCCTGATCCTCTGATCTGTAACTAGCTACCATTCATCCTTACAACCATATTAACCACACCATACCATAACCATACTAAAATTTAATAAATTACGGTATACTTATAAAAACCGCCGGGTTTAATTACTTTCGAATATATGTATATGTATACATACGAATCGAATTTTGTCCCGCGATTAATTAAATTATTTCCGCCTGCGAATGATTCTTTTTTTAGAAACTGCATGGACTATTTAACATATAAATAAAATGTTATGGTTTCTCAAGGATTGGTTTCAGGCATCTGTGGCTTTATATTAGTTTTCCACTATTACATACAAATACATACATAAATACATAAATAAATATATGTACATACAAAAATATCTGAATTGTCTGTTTTTCTTGAGTGTAGTTTAACAGCAACATTAACGACAGTATGTGGCACGATCGAACCGTGATTCGTGACCGATCAGCACGAGATGAGTGGTTGACAATAAAACGCTCAACCAGTTCATATCCTGGTTGATATGTTCGAATACATGCAATACAGCTTCTCAGGAGCTGTTCAGTTAATGCAATATAACCTTAAAACAACACTTTATGCCTGTAAAGTTCATATTAATGAATAGAAAGTGACTATGCGTAAAGAATTGCATTAATTTTGTTGTAATATTGTATAAAATATTACCTGGATCACAAAAGGACTGTGTAACCACTGCTACGATTGCTAAGAGTCCTAACAAGTATCGTGCACTCCCTTCAGCCATGTTTCTTGATCATAGAACCTGCAACAATTACACAAGGTATGAATGAATTGCTCAAATCCTAAGTTAGTTTTCTTATGCTCATGTTTTTTTTATGTAGCATAGGGAATAAGGAGCCTGCGGCTCACTTGATGGTAAGTGATTAACGCCGCTCATGAGCACCCGCAACACCAGGGAATTGAATGTGCGTTTTCGGCGTTTTAAGAAGGAATAAGCTGTATTCTTGAAGGTTTCAATATCGTATCGGTGTTGTTAAGGTGATGTTTAAGTAATTATCATCATCAGCCCACTGGAGTCCACTGTTGGACATAGGCCTCAAACGATCTTAAAATTATATTTAAGTTATTAGTACCTATACTAAATTATATTTCTACTTATTTGTATAAATTCAGTGGTGAAAATATAATAATATTATTTAGTTATAAGAAAATAAATTAACCTGGACATTGAATACCAAATCAAACAAAACCAATACTAGATATAAATACCTAACAAGTAAATATGTAACATACGTAGGAATACAATTGAAACTATTTAAACCAAGTTTAAGTAGAGATAAAACTTCAGATTCCGCCATCCGAGGCCACTGTCACAGTTGTATCCCAAATAACAAAAGTTTACTTTAACACACTCCCTCAATTAGCTCAAATAATCAAAATAACTAGCACTCTCAATGTGCATTGAAGTTATCAATATGAAATAAAATGGTAGGGGGTACAAATATTTTTTTAACAGTGTCAAACTATCACCAATTTCATTATACTATATATTTTGATTGTTAAAATACATTACTCAAATATCGTTTTAAGTTTGACAAATAATTTACGATTAAACGCCCGAACTCGCGAATTTAGCGCGAAATATAAATCATCATCTTTTTCAAGAGGTATTTTCAAATTTCGAATATGGAATTCGAACTTTTTTATTTAATGCAGTATCGTTCTGGGCGTTGTGGCATAAGGTCGAAGGTCGAAGCAGTGTTCCTTTTCTTCACTAAAATCAGAATTAGATTTGAATACCAGTATTTTTAAGCATTATAACATTTATATTCGATATAAGATTTAGAAAGAAAACTGCAGATACATTTTTCTTAACACAGTGTCTTACGTCTAACCCAAAAGTTGTAACATATAGGATAGGTACTGGCGGTGTTGTCCATCATATGCTTGGGTTATCTAAATCTTTCCATTACCTCCACTAGAAAAATTGATGCTGACTGAATACATGCAACTACTGCGTTTTAGTTTACACAGAACGACGTTAACGTATTTTTGTTAGGGTTCTCAATAACTTTACTGTAATAAATTTCACCAATTACGGTGATTAGTTGAAGTCAACGTACTTGTATGACTCGACCGCTATTTAGTATAACCACAGATAATATAATATTACATAGTATAATTATAAGGTGGATGGACGGTCATTTAACGTCCTACGTTCCGAGAAGGATACAGAAATGGAATCCAATTGTTTCACTATTTTAATTTTGAATGTATGCAATTATACATTTGAGAAAGAAATGCATCTGATTAAAATAACAGTACATAGTTACCTTCCATTTATGTTACAAATATGTAAAAGAAAAAAAAATCGTATGGTCTGAGTGTGTGGCCAGCATATTGCACGAGCTAGTAGGTATTTCTTACTCTTGCTACTAGACTAATTTGGCACTACATATGTCACCTACAAGACCTTCATCAAAATACGTCAGTATACATATATACCTACTTATATTTTAAGAATGTACCAAAATAAACAAGAAATCGTCAACTTGAAATGTCGTTGAACTTTTGTAATTATAGTATATGTAGGTTTCCGAGGAAGTTCACGAACGATACTAACCTTGCCCTTTAATTTGTATATAAGAGCATGTTAATTTTAATGCCCCAACCGACAATATACTTCATACTTACATTCCACGTTTTTATCACTAAGCAAGTAATCACTACGTTTTGTTTTATGGAGAGGTTTGTTAGAATTTTAAATTTGGAAAGCATAAACTAGAGTGCTGTATTCTAAACTATTTGTTTTTATTATTAAACGTGAGTAGATACTACAATATAATACAAAATATGTATTGTTTGTAAAGAGGTTTGGTTATTTGATTTGATAATTAGTCGATCACGGAAAACGAATAGATTAGATTCACAGATGAACGTAGTCTTTGGAACAATGAGCATTCCGTGCTACCTCTATAGTTCGGAATAATAAATGAAAGTTACGATGGATATGCTTATAGAAAACGGTAGCTTACAACGATAAAATATATTTTTATTATTGCTAACATTTTTTAAGAATATTATACACTGTAGGTAGGTACTTATTTTCTAGGTAAGTACTAATACTATATACTTATTATTTGCTCGGTTTCTGATCGAGGAATTATAACCTTCGTTTTATGTAATTATTTATATTATATGCATACTCCTTCTTCAATGTTAAACAAGTTTTATTTTATAATAGGTATATTCTCTGTTATTTTGGATTATTTTTAAGTATTTCATTAGCTTATCTATACATAGATCTTTTAATTTTTATCCTATGTAGGTAGATATTTTTAAATAGGTACTGTATCTATGTTACTTATTATTCATATGTCTTAACACAAATTTATTCATTACAAAAAATGGAATTTAGTTAAAATTTAAAAAAAAATGTAAATTTCTAAAGCAATTGTTGCATTGGTAGACAAAATAATACCTAAAGTACCTAAACCTTAATTTTTAAGTAATTTTGTCCAGACAAATATGTATATAATCATATACATAATATACATACATACAGACTGAAATTAAATAGATGGTGAGTCAAATTGTTCGAAATCAGTATATTATTATATTCAAGGACATCTGCATAGGAAAGATGCGACTCGAGACGGCTGGCCCACATTATGCTGAGTTGCGCAATACAAGAATTACTCGTGTAGTCATGCACCCAGCGTAGAAACTTGGTTGCGTCTGTCCGTGCACATTATCCTTATATTACTTATCTTCTATATATGCACATATACTTATATTCAGATATTATGTCAAACTTAAATCTTTTTTTTAATAAAATATACCATTATTTATATCACAATTAAAAAAAAAACATATTATTAAAGTACCCACATAAAAATATTGTGATTAGTATAATTTATCATTATATATATAAACCGTCCTCTTGAATCACTCTATAAACTAAAAAAACCGCCCCAAAATCGTTGTGTAGTTTTAAAGATTTAAGGATACATAAGGATAGAAAGACAGCGACAGCGACTTTGTTTTATACTATGTAATAATGATGTACCTATACATAACTTTATAAAGTATAATAATATATAGATCCTCAAAATTATATGTGAGTATATATATATTAGGTATCGTATACCTCACTCAGTATTTATTTTCTATGTTGCATAAAGGAAACAGCAATATTGTGGGAGATAATTATAAACGGCAGTAATCAAGAAAAAAAAGACAATGAATTTGGTATGAGGACAGTAATTTCTAGACCCACTGCACGGAAAGAATTTAATCCTTTCTCTGTTTAAAAAGGTAGATTGTATCACGAGGAACATCATAGGCTATCTTTTATCTTTAACAGAAGCAGACGATGTTGCTTGCAATAGCTACTTGGTTAATATATTCGTGGTTAAAGTTATGAGCAGCCGTGTAAGTAGGGGGTACTGAGTTACAAGTCTCGTGCCTAGTTCATTTCCCAGGTTCAGAAAATCACAAATTGCTTATTACATATAACTTAAAAAAAAATAATTATGAACTATTTTATCGAAAGACGAAAAAAGGTATTATTAATTTGGTCACAGAAGTTCCTATAGTCACAGTTTACTGTTTACTGTTATCATTAATATTCCATACAAATAGTTTATGCAATTTATTTTATTACCCTAACATACAAAATTCAGTTTTTTTTGTGTGTATTTAATTTGCCTTTTTGTCTTTATTTAGTTGTAATAATACCATACAGTTTTTTGTGGCTACCACTAATTAGATTATAAATCATATTTTTTTATTAATAAATATACGAGATAATATGTCAAAACGTGTTTGGTTTCGACTAATTAATAATTCTGAGTTACTTCCCATGAACTGATAAAAAATTTAATGTTCAAATAAAATAATGGACGGTCATGTATAATTATAATTGGGTAACCGGCGCGCGTGAATTTGACCCATTTGCATACAAGGTCATCTTAACAAACTTCGGCCATTGTGCACATAAGTCACTATCTTCTGCACCATCAACTCAAATAAAGCCTTATTCGCCTCTGTATAAACTATTTACCACGAGATTATTGTCTATTTGTAATAATTATGTTGTTCTTATGCTGTATAATACTTTGGTATACATCAAGAATTTAAAAAAATAAGTGTTTTCAAATTTGACTTTATTTTTTGTATGCCTATATTACGCTATATCTTTGGCAATTCAGCACCGATTTTAACTGTACTTGGTGTAATCAATAGCATTTACTTCCGTGTTAACCCACAAACAATTTGAATAAGTAAAAAATATCAAAGTATAACAAAAAGTAAGATGAGACAGGACATATTCTTAGCACATTAACTAATGAAAGAAAATGTTTTATATACGAGGATACCTATACCTAGTTACACAAAGAACTTCGAAACTACATATAACCACATATAACTAATATTCATCAACCAAGAATATGAAGTGGAAGGCGGATAAAATTTATTGCCCAGGGTCCATAATGGGTCGGTTGTTTGCGCACCGCTTGAATTCTGTTCATAATCCCTACCTACTAGTATTACTCAATTTAGTCGTTTATGTAAGTACGTTTACTTATAAGGTCACTTAGTTTCGGATGCAAAGATATAGATTGCAAATAGATCGACGTACTTAGTAATTTATCTCTTAATATTAATTTTGCTCCATTATATTATATATTAAGTACTGCTTTCTTTTATTTGACTATCATATTTTTTGACCTAAAATCATTGTAGTTACTTGTTCTATCAAATCGAAATATATTTATTCTTGTAGGTCTAAATAATTTTGAATTTTTGCAGTTTTTGTTATTAACAAATAAAACAAAACAAAATAAACTTAATGGACACAATTACAAGACTCCTATTGAAATTAAAGTAGCTATTACAATATGCTAATAATGCAGACGTATTATATATATATAATCTTAAATATAGTGTGTATAGAATGCTACAACATATTTAAGAACTGACACTTTTGATTATTATGTACTCATATAATTAAGATTCTCGTTAATATTTACCAAAAAATTTTTATTACAAGTGAAAGGCTGAGATCGTGATTAATTATTTTTGACAACGTTATCTTGAATCTTTTGTGCTCCATTTCTCTGAGGACGAATAAGTGGGCGCAGTAGTTGTTGTGAAAGCTTCGCTATATACACAGACAGATAGAGATTCCTATCACACATAATAATTATATAAGTAATAATTACACAAATACCATGGTCAGACGTAAAAGAAATATTAGCTATTGAACTGTTATATGCCCTTATGGCCATAAGGAAATGTCAAATCACGAAATATTATATTTAACGGATAGGTAAGTCAGATTTTGTTATTATTAGTTCCGTTTTATTATTTTTAATTTTTCTTTTCATCATTTTGATGTTTCTAACATCAATAAGATGAAATAGAAATTGAAAAAAAAGTAGATTTTACAATTCAATAACATCTACATAGTTTTTGCGTGTTACGCGACAATTGTATTTGCCTACACTGATAAGATTTTAACCTTAATGCTACCTGTCATTCCGATGATTATTCTCTTGGCTGTATTAAGTCTTGATTAAAATATAAAAAAAATTATAACGTATTATTTTTTATGAATTTGACATTTGGCACTCAGATAAATTATTACAATTTTCAGGCTGCAATATGATTATTGGATAAATCTATAAAATATATATTTTATAGCTTTATCTCAACCATGATGAGCAATCGTATATTTGGAATGCTAACTACATCTGACTATATAATAAAAACAAGTATATTTAGATTTTAAAAAAATATCGATAATTTTCTGAAGAAATCGCATAAGAAACCTAAAATTATTAGACGCAATAAACAAAAAAAAAATACCATCGTTTCGAGAACTTCCTCTTTTGGGTAGTTGGTTGAAAACGAGCCGGCCTTCACCGGACAATCTCGTATAAACCAAGAGTACATACACAAGCGGATCCTACGCATGTTAGTGACAAATGGCACTAATATTGATTGGAAAACCTTGAAAAGTTACAAAAATAATTAAACTGTAGGTTTTGCGCTTCCGATGTCATTATTACATAAACAAACAAGTTTAATATATTTATCATTGCATCAATACTTGAAGCAAAAAATTACGCAGCTGAGGAGTATAAAATTTTGCAAACTTATAGTTGATATAGAGAAGGACTGCTAATATTACTATGTTTTTTTAATTATGCATAAAAATGCATTACACACACTACCATGTATTTGTCACACACACGCATAGAAGTGTATTCGTTGACAATTGAATAAGGTTTTATTATCAACGACTATAATGTTCAAAATGAAATGTTTATAGTTATGTTTTAAATTGTTTATAGTCGAATTTGGACCATTGGCGGATCACTAGTATGAATTAATATTAAAGAGTTGTATGCAAGGAAACGCGGAAACAGGCCGTTACGCTTTATATACTTATAAAAAAAACTTTAGGTGATGCCTATTTCTTATTTTTTTATCACAGAAAAGATAAGGTAGGTTAAAAGGTAACACATGTAAGTACTCAAATAGTTATATATGTATTGTTATGTTATGTTATTATATATGTGATAAAATAAACTAAGTATATAAAGCTTACCATAATATATCGATAATAACTACTTAAAGTATCTGTTTTATTATGGACATTATGTTTAGGTAGGTAACAGTAGGTATGTAACGTTATGAATGCGTAATGCACAGCAGTGTATTGTCATAGGTCATTGGCAGGATATCAATGTAGATCCTGAATGAATCATCGGTTTTCTTTTACATTATATCTACACCTAATCTTGGTTTTATATTGGTATTTGAATATTAAGTATAGGTATATGCGAAAGTTATAATAGTAACTTGATAGTATAATTTTTAACTTAGATATATTTTTTTTATTTGTAAGTACATCAGTGAATGTGACTGAATGTCAATATTTAAGGATGTTAAATAAAAATTGGTCTTTACATTCATTGGCATTACACGGTAATACTGGATTATTACTGCATTTTTTTTATTATACACAAACTGCAGTTGAATAGTGATAACAATTTGAGATCAAATTGCCCTTACAAAAATAATAAAGACTTGCAACCTATTAATAATAATGCTTAACAAATTACAAAAATTGCTTAAACAATTTATGCAATGATGATTTTATAGAAAAGTAAAGCCACTTTCTGGGTCCAACCAGAAACCCTTTGAAATATACACACAATCTATATCGGTTGAGCCATTTGTGAGAAATTAAGTGACAAACACATAAGTACCTACTGATGAAATATGCATACATATATATTAAAATATGCTGCTTGCAAGATGGGTTTGTGAGGACTCATTCTGATGGAGTTTCTGCTCAAAGTTAGGTCTAAACATTGTATTTCTACCAGTAGAAAAACAGTCAGTGCATCACATTTTAAATCATACCTGTTGTCAACATTTTTTTATTTTATTTGTTGTATATAATATTTAATTTGAAATTGTGTTGTTTTAAATATCGAATCTCCTCGTAATACATGCTTTCCAATTGTTATTTACTTTTTTACTTTAGATTACCTACACCTCAAAAATGCCAGGGCCAATTTGAAATCATATGCAAATACCGAAATACGACATAGTTCGTGATTTAAAACATTGACAGTACCTACATATGTAGGTATGTAGATAGATATATCAAAAACATCAAATCAGCTGATTTATATGACGGACCACACTGAACCGGTCGTGTATAACTGTTCATCTAAATGTAGATACCTAACTGTTATGCAAAAAAAACCCATTGTGTGAATGTACACACGGATACCGCGGCATATAAACTTGCATGTCCAAGATTTTTACGTCATTTTACTATAATCACGAATTATGAATGTAGGCACGATAATTATTTATCTCCAGTAATGACAGAAATATTCATTGAATCAGCGGTTGATATTTTAAACATGCATTGTCTAGTACCTACACCTGGTGGTCAACATGTGATTGCGTCCTTGCATTCACTGCGAGACACTGCTTATCAGGGAATGTCATCATCATAGATCGAAACACGAGTAGTAGAAAGGCAACCGAACTCACCATTAATTACGATTAGGCATCACACCAGCATTTTGCGAATGTAACTACGGAAGCCGCTGCGACCAACAGTCCGGATTGTAATGGTGCTTGATGGTGTTGTTTGAAAACACGGTACGTTCACACGAGAACTGTTTACGGAGCGAAAGCGGCAATTCGTACGCGGAAGTGCTGTTTTAGAGGTGTTATTGCGGCAGCATCGAAGGCGGTCGATGCGCGCGCAGTTGCGTGTACGACTCACCTCCGCGCCTGTTTCTCCAGCTGAGGTGTCGCGAGGAGAAAGTCTCGGCCGTGGTGCGCCCGCGTCGGTTGGCCGCCGTACTGACTGCTGTGGAGGGGGACGTGACGTCGCTCGCAAAACTAAGACCCACCTCGGAATCATCTTAGGATTGCCTCACCGGTCATCGTAAGCTTCAATGAAGTCGCAGTTTGGACATGAGTTTGCTTAGAGGCAAGTACCATCGTAATTGGTTTTACTATTGTGAATACAAACAGAGCAACGGTCTGCGTGATGGAAAGTGGTAACCGTGAAACTGTCGAGTTGTATACATTTATGCATTAAGTTATCCTTATTTTAGATCATAGGTATTTTTTTAATTTGTAAGATTAAATTTAGACTATTAATAATACTAATAATCATATTATTTTGTCCCATTTCGATTAAATATCGTAGAAAAGGAGGAAAGATTGCCAGAATGCGGTTCCATTCCAGAGAAATAAGAAATTTATTTCGTTGCGATTTCTGACTCTTAAAACCAAAACTCAATTCAGATTTTTTTTAAATATCGTCTTCAGCTGGCGTTAAGGCAAAGGACACTCTAAACTCGCGTAAGGACTTAAGGAGCGGGCAAAGACCTATTCTTACCTACAGGATACGTAGACGAAACATGCCGATGATTTTATACAAAATGTCACAGTAGGTAAATATTTATTATTGTAAAAAAATTCTATGTACCGATGAACCAGCGAATAAAGTAGTGCTATGGTTTTATGTATTATAATTTACGGTTTTAATATAAAAACAAGTAAAAATAACTGTAAATTGTCTATGAATGAATATTCCTACACTAAACTTTAATGATCGTGATGCCCAACAACTAGACTGCAATAACTAACATTACAAATGAATATGAATGAGTGTTACTTGGTGGCGGCGCGTATTCATTAACCAATTACGACTCGTTCCCACGTTTTACATCCCCCGAGAGTGTTGAGACGCAAAATTAAATGGAAGACGTGTTGAATATTTTAGTCATCTGTTTTTATTCTCTACTAAGCAATGAATAGATCAAATATTTATCTTCAGGACAAAGATTACGGAGTAAGCAAAAATATGAAATAATATATATAAAATATGAATGAAATGAATTGTAACTGTAACTTGTACAAAACAAAAATATGATTGATTTTCAGATATTGGTCATAGCTATTTATTTTGACATGTAGTTCTCAGAATATATCAGCTCTTTCTTATATCATGTTCATCAATTTATATTCAATGCAAATATTTATTAGTTATAGTTATAACACGTTATTTTTTTGCAAAATTACTTCAAATTATATTTACATTCCTATATATGTTCTAGGGAAATAAATTAAATACCGTCAATTCTTCAAAAAAGTATGTCATTTTTTCCTCCTCAATTCAAACTTTTACCCACGCACAGATTTAGTCCCAAGGTATATCCCCAACATTAGTACTTTTATGTCCCTAAAGGAAAAAAATACAGAAAACCATTGTAATCAGGTTTGAGAACTGATGCAATTCTCTTTTTGTCTTTATAATTTCTTTCGATTAGTTAAAAAACATCATCATAGTCATTAAATATATTTATTGCGGTAGTTAGCTTAAACTAACAAAGACAAAGCACAGGCAGCAAACAGAGTTTTACATTCTTGATGACAACTAAACCATTCGCCACAACAGGCACGGATTTGAAATGGCTCTCTTGATATGTAAGCTTTACTACGAGTTTGTTTGTTTTTTGTTATTTCTAAAGCTTTACTTTCACACAAACATGCCGTTGTCATAACAAGGAGTATATAGTTTGCTCTATAAAACATGGACGAAATGTAACAGTTTCTCTAATTTTGGTAAGAATACAACTGAAGACAAATGAAGCACCGCTGACTTAACGGAAGCATAAAAATCTGAACTAAATTCATGCTTCTGTTATGTTTACTGTGTATTTCTCATTTAAACGCAATAATTATGTCAGAATATTAACTTTACTAGAATTGTTACTGTTAAATATTGTTTTTGAATATTAAAAAAAGCATGTGATGGTACTGAATTAATATTAAATGTTAAATGTAACTTAATTTAATTGACTAATTTTAAATCTGCGCCTAGTTAATATTATATATTTTTTATTAGTACATTGTATATTAACTATATTTTTAAAGTGTTTTACTAATTAATACACACGTACTTATAGACTGAGTTATAACCAAGTGCGTCCCTGTGCATTAGGGAGCCATCTGTTTATACAATTATCGGCTAAGAGCCGAGTCAGTGGCGCGCGCTGTTCTTCCTAAATGACTCCTTCATGAGCGATATTCATCGGGATACTTATTAGTGGCCCCTCATGCTCCCCTGGATTAGTACACGATTAGCTTTCATATGTTGCACTCATGTTTCTAAGCTAAAGTAAATTCAGTAATATAACTATTTAAAAAAATATATATTAAATGGATTTCTTGCACTATCAGTGTAATGAAGAGAGATGGGAGCAGCAAGTATTTACATTGACAGCATTGCAGAATAATGTAGAAGTAGTGCCCGTAGCCAAGCAGAGGTGTCAAGCTAACGCACGTGAAAGAGATAGGACTCAAAAGTTAGTATTGACGTTATCTATTTAAAATTAAAATAATTTATTCTATATGTATATAAATTATTAGTCACTTATGCTCGACAAAAAATTCACTGTCACTGCCATTCAGTTCAGCGAGCTTCTTTTTTTTTAAACAGACTCTTTGCTGACGACCTTTATCCCTATATGTATGTCCTATTCCGTCCTCCACGTACCTACGTATAATTAAATAAATCCATCCAAACTTTAATTTTTGGAATGAATATATGTACTCGTATATATACTTACGTGTCATCATGTTAGATTTCTTACTGGATAAGCAGGGAGACTCTAGTACGCACCAAAGATGTTATAACGACGTACGTTGTCTAGGTACAGTGTACATTTAAATATGTAACTCTATCTTAAATGTCGTTTAATTACACTTTACTAATATATTATTCTCTTACGACATTGACATCGCAACGCGTTATTCGTTAAATTATGACCCGGATTCAATGCTCGCGTAGTTTAATTTACCAATATATTTTAAATTAGGAAATAACTGTTTGTGTATTTTTCTAATTATATCCGTATTTGTTCAGACGTAGCACAGAATAGAATAATCACAAATATTACCACATATATTGTCGTAATAGTTTTAAATTATTTGCAAGATAGAATACGATTATCCTGTGAAAAATATTGTTGTAATAATTTTATAATATTTTGGAATTATTGTTAAAGTAATTTTTATTGAAATACTATAATAATAGAAGGCGGTTGCAAACTCTATAACAGTGATAAAAAAATGTTTTTAGTTAACACTGTTAAATATTAATATTGTAATACAAAATATTAACACAAACTATAGTAACATTGTAATTACTATTATTACAAAACTAAATAATTGTAATAATAGGATTGTTATCAAAATACTTTTTTTATAACTCCAAGCAGCGTGAACATGGCGTTCAACACGTTACGGCTTCTGATCCCGACCGAGCCGCCCGACAGGAAACTCAGTAAGATTGAGATATTGCGGCTGGCTGGCAGCTATATTACGCATCTCGACAACCAACTTTATACAGGTGACAATAGGATACAATTTACAGAAAATATTGATTTAATTTGTAATCTAACTATAATGGCAATAAGCTGATGACCTACCTGATGGTAGGTAGTTACTGTCATGTATATTCATGAACAGCACCATAGACATTTTTTATAGCACAGGGGACATATATAGCTTGCGGTTCACTTGATGGTAAGTGAATACCGCCGCCCGTGAGCACCTGCAACACTAGGGGAATTGCAAGTGCGTTGCCGGCCTTTTAAGAAGGAATAAGCTCTTTTCTTGAAGGTTTCAATATCGTATCGTTTTAAAAAATATCATTGTTGGAAGGTAATTCCACAATGTGGTTATGCATGGCAAAAAGTTGTCACGTTATCAGGCATTGGCATTCTGAAAGACTAAAAAGTCATGCCTCGTCATCCTGTAAGGTGACAATGACGTCGTCCTGTAATGACATTACAGGATGGTTTCTCTCACTCTTCAACTGAGATACCTAGTATAAACTATTCTACCTTGGCACATATAAAATGTAATATGGAGAATGAAAGTTTAATGAGCAAATGAAGAATAATAATTAGCCTGACCTTGACGGGGATGTTCGCATTTACGTCATTCTTCTGATTCCAATGTAGATATTAAAATAATGCGTGTACTTCATGTTTGAAATAATCTTTAAGCATTCTTTAGCACTATATCTTAATAATTAAACTTTTTACAACAAGCAACTCAGCATCGTCAAGTCGTCCGTTGAAGCTGTAAATCCCAGGTGCGCCCAACAGCGCTAGTTAGAAAAAAAACAGGTCATATTACATTATATCCTCAAGTTCCTCTCAAAATAAATAGACAAATGTATTACAGGTGAAATGGACCAACCGTGCCTTCAGAAAAACGATGTTCATAACAAGAATAGATCACTTTGTACATTCTGCTGGTCGTCCGTGAAGAAAGACGTGAGTTTAAGCACGTATTCTTATCTATATTTTACGTATTGTCTGTTAGGTACAATGGACAATAGTGCAGCATACTTGTATTATGAATAAAGTTACGGTTTAAATTCTACATTTACTATATTCTATTATAAAACTAGCTAACCTGCGCAACTTCGTCTGCGTCCTATAAGAGACCCAGTTTTTAAAACCAAAGCGGCTCCTATTGATCGTAGCGTTATTATAAGCTTACCTAGATAAATCCGTAGCGTTTAGCGTGTTCAACAAAAGAAACAATCTCTGTAGTTTTGTAGTTTAAAATATAATGCCTGATATTAACAATGCGAACAACTACAACAATTCAGACGTTTATCCAAATGCATCACATTTTTATATAGAATCATAGATATTTCATGACAAAATATAATAAATAATAGGACTAATTTCGATGATTCGTTCTTTCTCATGAATGTTAAAACCATCGATAGTTGAAAAAATAGAAATTTCTATATATAAACAATTTTTTTTATGTAATTGGTATGGCAATCATGCTCATGACCTACCTAATAACAAGTAGTAACCGTCTCTTATATACAAAAACAGCACTATGAAGATCTTCTTATCATGTCACTCCCATCGCTCATGCGTCGCACTCAGGAGGACTAAAATGTCCATCTATCTTGTGATTTCACTGTCTAATCTCACAGCTTACAGAGCAAGTTGCTTTTCACAAACTAGGTGAGACTGATGTAGGTACCCAAGCAGAGAACTTTTTATAAAGTCTACTACTGTAAAATATGCCAATGATTTGTAAACTTATTGTTAGATATATTGTAATTTAATATTAAAATTCACTTAGAATTTACTTTATATACTTTAAGACTTTGAAATTCTTTAGGATGTCAGGATATATAAAGAATAAATATATTTATTTAAACTTATGTCGATTCTTAGTTACTTGAATAAAAAAAAGAACATTTTATTTCATAAACTTATCTACTATCTGTGTATGCTTAACACCGTGAAAATGTTTTTGTTTCGAAATTAGTTTTTGATACTTACATGTTTTTTTTTTATTTCAGAAACCTACAACAATAGCTAATTATTACAAATCACCATACTGATGAGAACTTCTTAATCAGAATCACTAACCGGCACTAGTCTGTGTATTAATATCTAATAAAATAAAATGTAAGGGTTCATTGTAACAAAAAATTATAACATAGCAATGGTATTGTGTTATGTAAAAATGTAAGCAATGATTAAATAATATATATTTAATAATATAATAGGTTGTTTAATTTTATTGGATTTTCAGCTTTAATGAGCAAAATTCAATCAATAAGCAATTTGCAGTGTTTCCATTTCCATATAAGCTTTCATACCCTAAATGAAAAATTATTACGAACTTTGAATGCCATATTTATTTATATTTAATCAACAGTCTAAAAAATAAGTTACAAGCTTCTAGCTTTAAAAATGACAATACTTCCATACAATCTTTAATCTCCTCTTACAACCCTTTTTCGTATTAAAAACTTGTCCTTTCTCAGGGTAGACCTATCCTAAAGTATATGAACCGGTCAGTACTTAGTTATGGCGTAAAAGCGCGACAGACAGAGTTACTTTCGTATTTATAATATTAAAAGGATTATCCTTACTAACTGAACTGGAACTGTCAATATATATAAATAGTCTGGTCATAAATACTGTTACATAAAAGCTTTTGTTGTTTTTATTCACTTTTTATTTATTTTGAATTTGGAACACGTATATTCTTTTAAGAAATTTTCATAATATATATTACATTTCTTCATTAAAAAAATGCAATTTAATTTGTAACAGAACTTATGGCTGGACTATAAGTTAACCGCTTACTTTATGGAAGGTGGCAACCGAAGGCCATAGACTTGAATGCCCGCAGTGTTCTTCATGCAGTACCATACCTCATTTCTAAATTATGACATTTTCGCCGTCGTACCCTGTAATTTCTATTATATCACACCTATCAAACAAACCACGCAAGCTACTCAGTTGGAAAAATAGACAAGAGAAATAGCAAACTACTTTGTACGCAGTTTACGACATTAAATATTTAATTAATAACTAGTAATTCCAATTATTTGCGTAGGTACACAATATAAATAAAAGAAAGTTTTGAAATGGCACAATTTTATTCATCTTAACAAGAATTAAATATTATGTAATTCATATATTGTTTACCGGAATTCTATCATTGAAACCTATCACAACCAATATAAAGGTTTATTAACAATATTTCATCGCGGCATTCTAATTCAGACTTTAAGACTTTATCAGTAAAGGTTGTTTTTAAGTGACAAAATTTGCCGTGTATATAAGCTTGGTCACCTATATAGGTGAAAAAGATATTCTTCTGCTACAGATATTTGTACCTATACTATTTCCGAATAATCGTGTGTTAATAATCATCTGCTGTGATGGAAACAACAATAATAAATCAAATTATTCACCAAGAGTTCGCCTTATGCTACGATGCATTCAAATACCTGATAATGCCTCTGACTACCTCATCGCTAATAGCGGTGAAGGTATTTTATTATAATAGATTTTTTTTCACATAAACCAATGGCAGTGTTCTGTTGTTAAATTTAAAATTAACAATTTTGATTTCAAGGATAACAAATAACTAGAAAAGATTTAATATACAGACATATAGGAATATTTACAATATTTATTTAAACTATACCTTATTACTAGGTAATTCAAAATAAAAAAAGAAGTCTTTCTACAAAAATACGCTACTCAAATATAATAAATAAAAGTCAGATTTATAATGCCGTGACCAGTTGTATGTAATACGAATAAAAAATACATCGTAAATTAAATATTCTTAAGGGATGTACGAATTTAAAACAAAAACAGTAACTTTATTATGTAGTTTCCGCCTAGCTATAAGATTTTTAGTGTGCTCCCCTTATTTATAAAATATTAAACATCTAATAAACTTATTTTAGCCATTGAATTGTTCATTTTATTCTTGTTAAAATAATAAATGAGTAAAAAACAAATAATAGTTAAAATAATAAACATATTTTAACTATTAGAGAGTTTTGTCACTTTGTGGAGGTATTTTTCACTATAAAATATAATGGTGTATACGCTGGCAGGGCTCCATGGAGGATGACTGGATGATACTGAAGTCAGGTCAGTTAGTCAGGAACCACATGGAGGTCGACCTGATAGGGTGCACTGCACATACAATCAACTCCCCCCCATAAGATGTATATATAAATATATACGTGGGGTACGTCTGTATCCTAAGTTATGTGTTACCGTATATAGGTATCATAATAAGGATTCATAGGATTCTCATACAGTCAACACGAAAGCTAAAAATAAATAAAAGTAATAATTATACCTATTAAATTAATAAAAAAAAATTACAATATTAAGTAGTCTCTTTAAGTAGATATCAAAAAAGTTTAAGTACTCCAATATTGATCACTGGAATATTAATAAAAATGTTACACAGTAACAAGTAAATTATAAAAACAACAAAATAACTATAAATTACAGGTCGATTTATATTCAGGAGAACTTGGCCGTGATTTATAATAAGATAAATGGTGTTCAAAATGTGACGTATACTAATCATAACATGCGATACACATAAGTTATTTTATAATTACTATAAAGAGGTAATAAATTCATAATGCCGAATAGAATTTCATACTGAGACAACATCCCCGTCACATTTTCATATAACAAATTTCTAAATGACTTTCGATATGATTTTTAAATTTTACTTGCTTCGTACAAAACTTTTTTTATTATTGTAATACCTTATAGTAGTTTCTTTGTATCTTGCAACATAGTTTGATAATGTGATTTACTATCAAATTTTATGTTGTCTAAAATCTACTTATTTAACCTTCGTAAAGTGAAGTAAACATTTCAAATCAGGTAAAATATAATCTATAGTTGTGACAAAGTTGTATATTTAATCCCTTATTCATAAATACTAAAATCGTCTACAAACCTATTATATTACATACTAATGTATATTAACTTTTTAGGCTCCAAAAATAGGGCTGGGCTGTTATTTTTTCAAATAGAAGCACCCGTACAAATGAAACATATACAATGTTAATGTTTATAGAAGAATTATTGTACATTCTCTAGTAATTAAAATACCAAAAATTCTTGACTAGTAAGGTGCCTAGTCCAATAAAATCAATATAAGCTCTACTTACGTATTACAGTAACACTATTCATAAATTAGGCAAGTATTTACAGAACATGGAGTCATTTGCAAAAACAAACATTAAACATTATTTAAAATTTATTTACGTTTATGCTTAATGGAGTCAAGTATATAACTATTTAAGAGTTTATTTTTACATTATACTATATAAAAATATTATGTATGACAATGTTACTAAGAAACGACATGAGCCTAAATTGTTACGATTACAAAAAAGATTATTTCACATAAGCTCAGAATCGTCGCATAATATCTACATAAAAATCACTCAAAAAAATTTTTTTTATGAAGTCGATTGAATATTTAAATCTCAATAAATTTTAAATAATGTCATAATAACTTTCATATCAGTTATTAAATCGTCACAAAAATGCAATTATAAAACAATACAATTCATCGTATCAAGAACTCAACAAAACAAGCTATACCGTTTATAACATCACATACCTACTCGTTCTATTTCCTCTATGAAGACATCACAGTCAAATATGTATTAATATAATTTAATTTCTACTTACTCTTACTTACATATCGATTTCATTAGGGGCTGTTTTCTCGTGGGTGAATTTACCCAAAAATATATGTATTATTTTACATAATGGAATCTAGGTACTACATATAAATATTTAATGGAACATAGGATACAATTCAAAGAATTCCTATTTTTCATCCAATACACATATTAGTGTAGTCAACTTTAGTGTAAACAGTCTTTATCATACATACATGTATTTATTTAGGTATAAGTACATGTTAAAATACGTCCCCTAACAAAAATGCCTAATAATTTTATAATCTTATGTACAATATTCCGTTATGTACTCAGTAGTTATCTATACACTAGTCTTAATTTTTATGCACCATTAAATTTTAATAACAAATACATAATCTGGCAAATTACATATGTAGGTACAAATTGCTAAAAAGCATATTCATACGTATATCTCGTCCAAATAAAAACAATGGTACATATTAGTTCGAGATAACGGAATAAGTACATAACGTTCTCAGCATAATCATGAATAAATTCTAACTATTTCGAATAAATAATGGACTCGCTTCATGATTATTCTTCTCCAAGTTGCCCGAGAGTGTGGGATCCGGCCGACTGCGCTTGAAGAAGCCACACTTCCATAATAATAAAATAACTAGGATAAGAACTATTAATCCGATGAGTACGGATATTATAATTACCCACAATGGGACGTCATTTGACTTAATTTTTTCCAGTGCTGGATATGATACCGTTTCCACCTGAAAAAATGTTATATATTTAATCTATAATGGTTTATGAGCTTGGTTTCTTAACTGAGAAATGCAACCATATTTTTTTAAACTTCATTCTCACTGTTGGTAATCGTGGTTGGTGAAAATAGGTATAGGTGTAAATACATGGGTAAGAATTTATATGACTATTATATATGCTCATATATATAATATTCATCGTTCATTAAAATCAGCCAGTACAATGTGTTGCATCAATCAATACAAGTGAATTTTATTATCGGCTGAAACTACTAAGAAATAGCATGTGTAGTTCGAATACGTTAAGCATTATGCCTAAATGACCTAATGACTAATCGACTGTACATTAGAAGCCTTTGTATCTCTACAATCTGCAGGATGTTTTGTGTTTTTCATAGTATTACATGTACTGAGGACCAAGTGTATTTTTTAAATATTTTATATACAAAGTAAAATTTCTTTGTACTTTCTCGTTTCGATGAAGAATTAATGGAATTTAGTTCATTATTCAATTGGGGAGACGATATTGCATTGTTCGATTTATTATGCATTAATTGCAACTTTATACTCACAGTAGCCTTGTTGTCACTTCTGACTTGATGAATATTATAATGATCAGGTATATCTATCGAAGCTGTAGAGAAGATAGAAACATGACTGTATTGTGAATATTCTGCCACTAGAGTTGAATTCCACAGTCTCGCCTTTATAGTTATAGAAACCTCTTGCTTTCTCTCCAGAGGATATATAATGCATTGGAATATCAAACATTTTGCTGTCTTCTTATCATTACAGCTCTGGAAGAAGAAATGCATTCAGGTTTATTTAAAATATTTCTATTTAAATTTATAAAATTACATACACACAGTAGACTTTCAAGGAAATTGCTTGTTAGATGTATGCAATATCTGTCTCACCTATTTCTAGCGTTAGGTAACTTACTCTGTTAGCAGTTCTGGTATAAAAGAGATAGGATAGCGAAATTATAGGGCACGGATCCCAGTTCTGAAAGTAACGCGACGACATGATACTGGAATGTTAAACAAACAGAGGCGACGGTTGTCACTTTCCAGCAGGTCGATCAATTTGTTTTTCATCCCAGTTAGATAGAAATGAAACCATTCAAAGTCAATAAACTTACTATTGTCTTAATGTTTTTTCGTTGTACATCATTTCCGTTGTACGCTTCAGCTGTAGCCACAATATCAGCATCTCTTCTTCTCCTTACTCTATTGTCCACAGCGCTAGAATATGAATATGCTTTTTTCGTTTGATTATATTTTTTCTCACTGTTCTCTTCTAATTTTTTGAACTTTAACATCGGGTCCATCTCTAGATTTTCTAAAGGACTCTCCGCTCTCATTGTCAGATTTAAGGGATTCAATTCAGATTCCTGTGCAAAACATCTACCATGCACGTGTCCTGTAAACACAGAGAAATATAAATTATCAGATATACTTAGACTTCATATAAACTAGATTAATTCCCAAGTAGGAAGATATCTTGTGTGAAATAAAAAAACTATACTCTTACTTGTTACTTTGTAACTTCAGTAATTGCTATTATTATATGATAATGGAATTATACGGCACGGAGGTATGTCATATTAGCCCTAAAGAATAGCAACTCATGAAAGGTAAGAAGCTATGATGATGTCATATCCGTAATGCTAATCATGCATATAGCCGACGATTTCCACATACTACGTACATATACGTTGGGAGCAACTAGTTTGCCATTTCATTTCTTGAAAAAAAAACTGTTAATTGCTAAAATAGCTAGTAATAGACAATATGATATATATCAGATTAAATGTCATTATACATTTAATCTGATATACTCAATGAACTGTTTTTTTAAGATATATACCTATACTAAAAAAAATATTACAAAACTTACCAGAATCATCGTCGATAGCAGCGATTTCCTCCGGATAGAGCAGCCACTTGCCTTGTTTTTCATTGGACTGCATTTGGTGAGGCCACTCTATGTGCACTTGAACCGATGACACTCGCCATCGACCTTCATTAGTCACCTATTAAAATATCAAATATTACAAATTTGTTGCGTAATATTATTAAAGGTACCGTATCTGTGTATAGGTGACTTCCTAACTCTTTTGCCATTTCAATTACCTACATAAAAATTGTTTAGCTGCTGAACTGGGACAAACAGGTATTTATTTTTAGGTAACCTCGTACGAGTAATACGAGATGATTATCTGGGTTGCTGGCAAGATTGACGCAGTTGATGCTAACAAGGGATTAGTCTGCTTTCGAACCTTGTCATAAAAATATTCAAACAGTTAAATTTAAAAAATACGGAGCTCTGGGACATGTCAGTTAAAGTAGTTAGTACATTCAAACAGGTATTATATTCGAATCATGGGAAAACTCACAGGATGCTCTCGGCGTTTTTTGTGACTTGTCGAAGGCGTTTGATTGCGTAGATCATATTTTTAGGTAACCTCGTTTATATAAATGTAATACGAGATGATTATCTGGGGTGCTGGCAAGATTGACGCAGTGACTAGATGCTACTCAGGGACATATTGGTTACGATTAATTTCGAAAGCTATTGGCCACAGCTGACTTTTACAGCATTATTGAACAATAGGACGGAACGGAAGGACTTGTAACGGCCGAAGGACAACTCCTATCTGACGGATTCGACATTAGTCTGAGGGCACTGCTAGGGGTTCGAACCTTGGCTCTACCATCTTACAGAGAGGTCTTATATTAAACAAATGTTAATATCGATCCCTTGATATATGATAGCGTAGTTTTAATTGGACGGGCATCAAAAAATGGCTACATTAGTTCCAGTTTCGAGCACTACGACTGATTTAATCTTATTGCATATTTATATTTGACCCAAAAATTAGTGCAGTCAAGTTATTTAAAAGAGCATTTCTTGCTAAAAATACAGACGTCACGGCAAAACTTGTTATTTTAGTTATTTCCATAGCATTATGTCATATGGCATATCAAATATCCAAAAGAGAGCCATCATTTATGGTATGGGTTTCCATTACGTCAATGCTTTAAACAATCAAATATCAGCTGAATTGCGTAAGATTCTATAATAAACTGCCAGAGTCTACGCTAAATCTTACAGAGGCGATGAATTTATAGATGATAGCAATATATAGCAGTGGTAGATAAAAAACAAATTGTATTTGTTTATTTGAAAATTAAGTTTATTTGAATAAATGATTTTCTATTCTTGGCTCTACCATCGTAATATCGATCCCCGTTTTAATTGGACGGGCATCAAAAAATGGATACATTAGTTCCAGTTTCGAGCACTCAGTCAAGTTTACATATAAAATACCTGATATTTGTGAACAACGGCAGGCCCTATGTCGTCAAAATATTTCATGGCCGACTCTCCCTTAATCGCTCCACCGTAGAATACATGTTCAGGAACGGCAACACTGCAAATAATTGTAATCCTTAATTATCATTAATTAAATTTACATGGTTAAAATGCTTACGTTTTCCTGACAACTATAACTAGATTTCTGTTGATTATACGAATACTTGTCATTCGTGTCTCAGCAACTTGTACTTTGGACATTTAATGTAAATAGAAAACCTTAATTGGCTACTTCAGATTTTACAGATGAATATACCTTTACTACCGGTATTTCAAATGGATTATTCAGATAGATATGCCAGCTAAACACTTGTACACATGTAGGTACATTAAGCGTGGTATATAGAACCAACGACATAGGGACACACCTACTATCTATCGGATTAATTTGGTTTTATTGTTAAAGTTTTTATCACCGAAGACTTAGAAACGTAAATAGAGACAAAAGTGTTTTTGTGTCGCCTGATATGCATTCACGATCTCGTCGATGTCATTGAAAACAGGTGGTAACACATTAGTGCGACGCTGTCAACAACAAACAACCAACAAACAACAACAAATATTATATATATACTATTATTATGATGTCATATAAAGAAAATAATTTATGTGAAATATGTATCTTTATTATAAAAATGTTACATACCCACGGATCGTCAATTCGGCATTCTTTTTAACTACAGCTTTTACTTCTACTGGGATTTTGTGTGGGTGTAATTCTTTGGAAGTGGAGTTTGCCCAGACAGTGAAAGAAACTGAAGGGTCGTTGTCCTCCAACATACGAGTGTCGAACCGCAAAACAATAGGTGGCGTGCCAATCGGTTGTTGCTTGAACGGATTCTCCAGCATACACGATACAATGGTTTTATTTACACTACCGCAGATTAAACGTTTGTCCTGAAAATATAATTGCATAGGATTTTTGTAGGCACAGTAAAGACGGAAGACGGAGGAGGTTTTTTTTGGAGGGTGATAATGAAATGGAGCACCTGCCTGCGCTAACGATTTCCGCCGACGAGGCTCCAGTGGAGTATGATAAGAGGAATATGAGTTCAGGTCAGTTAGCCATCGTGGCAAATGCACTAGGAATTTATCACGATTGTTTCCAGGAGGAACCGCGTGGAGGTCGACCTAACATGTTACATCGCTAGCAATGACGAATACTAGTTCCTACTAATAACAATCCCCTTTCACCCTGGAAGAGATAGTTAGTAGTGGGGCCTTGCTAGCGGATATACCGATTCCTCGCATGATGCAAACATTGTATTTTAAATCATGAGCATGATTGTTTGTATTTATTGGTCGCGATGTTTTCCATATTCCATACACTACGTATATTTGAACATTAAAAAATATGCTGTAAGTTGTTTAGTACCAATAACACAAGCTCTGCTTGAGACTAGCTTGTACATGTATGAGAATAGTCTAGGATTATTGTTATTACTAGTTGTGCCCGCTGTTTCACCCGCGTTAAATTGCAATAAAAAATATAGCTTATGTATACACAAACTATATTACTGAAAAGATTAATCAGAATCCATTTAGTAGTTTTTGCGTGAAAGAGTACAAATACAGTCACAAATTTTCGCATTTATAATATTATTATTAAGATTATGATTAGGCAGGAAATATTTTTTAAGGAAAGTTTCTTTAATTTTATAAGGAATAAGGAGATTCAATTAACTTACAGTAATATTGGCAGCTATGTAATGCAAGTTGGGACTATGTTGTACAAACAGTTGTGCTTCGTATGCTGAGTCTCCGTAATTGTTCACGTCGATCGCTAGTTTTATTTCCTCTTCTTCACCCAGTATTAATGTAGATGACTTATCATCAGCTGTAATTAAAAAAAAGCATTTTGTATATTAGAGCTCTGTGAATATTTCATACTAATTGTGACAAAATTATTATTGGACAAATTTATGTAAAAATTACTTCAAGAACAAACTGCGACGCGATAAACGACTAAATAAGACTCAACATTAAAAACGACAAAAAAGTGCATAGTTTATTTAAAATTAAATATTTATTTTAATATTTTTAGTTTTCCTTTATCTTTACGTTTTTTTATTATAGTGTGAATAAAAGTCCCGCTGAGAGGTCAAAAATCCTCTTTACATGAATTTACGAGTATGATGATGTCTGTGCAAGAGACCTATTAAACTAATCGGGTTTTACAAAATTAATCTTATTATGATTGGTGTACGTGATAGTTTAAGAAATGTAAATTAAGCGTTTTGCAAAGACTAACCGTTAAGTAGAACAGGTATTACAACGAGGTCGCTGATGCATACGCCGTCCTCACCACAATCGTTAAGGAAACTAGCACTAAATGTAGTGGTAGCAGTAGCGTTCAGTACGGGATACTCGTCAATGTTCGGCAACGAACCAAACGTGGAATATTGCGGCTGCACATGCTCTAGCATGTACGTGAGACGAATCTAAAAACAAGAGAGACATTGAAGAGAAAATCTAATTATCTTGAAATTATTAACAGAAATATACACAAGACATTTTAATTCCAAAGTAAAACTATTGTGTATGAGTACTGTTTTATACTGACAAAAATATTTCCCTATTTAAATACAAATGGGTTAACAATAAATTTATAAATATACTCGATTAAGATTTGCAAGATTTTTAGTAAATTAAAATTGTTATATTTTTTATAGGTTAGTGGCACAGCGTTTGTTTCTTTATTATTAATATTCGAAAATCTTAAATTCAACGTTGGAAAATATACGTGATTCGCAATACTATTTATTAATAATATTTTGGACAACTGATATAGGATATATGTCTATCTATATAATTACAGATAGCCACTATCAGTTGTCCAAAATATTATCGTTTATATTAACGATAATATTTTGGTATACCAAAACAGTGTTCTATCAAATTTGTTTATGGAGGTTAGATATTATTTTTATATCGAACAGACTTTAATTGAAAAGTAAAAAGAATTTTCTATATAGTATATCTTTATATAGACGATTTTTCGTTATTTATATTTTTTATTATTATTAATTAATATTAGTTTAATATCTGCTTAGAAGAAAAGTAGATATGAATTGTGTAAATGAAGTCATGAATTAGCATGTAATATGCTTCACCGAAATAAAAAGAAATTGTACAATATTGATCAGGTACAAGTTTATTGATACATAATACCTAATAAGACAAAAACCTCGATCCATCTGGTACGTAAACTAGTCTATAATTATATTTTTCATATCACAAGATATCCTCGACTGAGTATCAGATAAATGTGATTAGGTGGTATTTATTTACATTTTTAATCTACACCTATGTTCGAGTTATGGTTGTCGTATACTGTAGTAATAAAGTTATGTTTAAAATTTCCTTCCAGATTACTTATATAAGAATACACTTCAGATTAGATACATAAGAAGAAACTCATTCATTTTGTATCTAAATTATCATACTGTCATATCGTGTTCATTATTACCCGCTAATTATATTAATCTACGCTAACAATAACAAATAAAAGACTACATGCATATATTATCGTCATTGTCTGTTTTTTATCTCAGTATTCAGTACAATAATATTATCTTGACCTTCAAAATGTATTAGTTTACTTACCCTAATTGGTGTCTGTATATCTCTAGTATTGTTTTTCAGATATGCAACATGTTCAGTACAATGTTCTACGTTTTTGCCCAATGTTATAGTATTGTTTACTATATTTTTATTATTAGAATCAAAGAACACTCTAGAGAATTTCCTTTCATTCGCGAATGTTTCCGCTTCTATCACATAATTTAATCTATGTGTGTTACTTTCAATAGATTCCACTAAAGATTTGATAACGCAGCATGCTTGGAAGTAAAAACAAGTATTATTTGAATCGGGATCTATTTCACAGCTTTGCAATGCTGGATCAATATTCACAATCTTCGATGGAACAACCCAAGTCTTAATGTCGATGATTGGTCTTGTTCGAATTAGTGCGACGCTGCTCTGTAAAAAATATTGAAACAAAAACATACATGACTTTGTAACGTATTTTTTAATGAACAAACATGTTTAATTTTTGTTTTAGTATATTTATAAGCCGCTCCAAAATCTTAAGGTTTTTTAAATAATATACTATTATTATTGTGATTCTAATAAGAGGCATTCATGTCGAAGCACTAAATAAATAATGTTCCTCCTCCATTATTGTAATAATGTACGTCCGACTAAATATGTTATGGACATATATAATATTTAATGTTGCATCTTCCTAATTTTATCTTAATTTCTATGTAAACAAATAACTCATTGATTTATTGGAATAATAAATTTTTCAGTAAAATGGTAGGTAAATATATTGAATACTTCGATTACTACAATTTATTAAAAAAATCTTTGTATTACATTTTCGTATGCGCCAATCAGCAAATCTGGATATCCATTACCATCCAAATCTGTTCCACCTGAGAGAGAGTATCCAAAAGTTTTCATATGTCTTGGTAAATCTTCTGCTTTTATTATTTGATCAGGCTTTGTATTCAGACCATTCTTTCTATCTCCCAAGTAAATATACACTTCTCCATTGCCCGCATAAGGACTACCAATAGCAATATCTTCACATCCATCTTTGTTTAAGTCTCCAGCGTTTGCTATAGAGATACCAAACTGCGACTCCGGTGCGCCGGTTAGTTTAACATCATACGTAGAATTGAAAGTGTATTGTCTATTAAGGTACAGATAGACAGCTCCACCAGTATCACGAGAAAAATAGAATGGAGCTCCTACTAACAGGTCTGGTAATCTGAAAATAAAAGATAACGCAGATTAATAATAACTTAACAATAATATTCAAACAAAATCAGTAAACAAAATATTTCAAATCCTATAATATGTATACAGGAGAACTCTTTCTAATATACAATAATTATAATTTCCATTTCGGGTGAACTTCATAGTATATATAAATAAGAAAATATATTATCATCAATTAATTACGTTATTTGATCCAATTATCAAACACTACGTGAGATAATTTGGTCTTAGTATATAAGAGTATTATTTTGCTTATATTTTAATATATTGTCAAAAATTTAAGAACAACATGTGAATGACAATTGTATAATATAAAATCATGATAAATCGTACCCGTCTCCATTGACATCTGCAGCAGAGACTTCGTAGCCAAAACTAGAACCAAATTGTTCTCCATCGATAATTCCTTTCTGTCCGAGGAAATCGACGTTAGTTAATGTCCAATTCTGTATTTCACGTTTACTGAAGAAAACAACTTGACCAGTACCACGAGATCGTGGAGCGCCTGCTGCGTATGATGATTTGGATTTGTCAAAAAATTTGGCACCTACCACTGACATACCTGAAACGGCGAAAAGAAATATTTTCATATTGTGCTTACAAATTTTTAATAATGGTAAAGCAGATAGAGATCCTGTACAGAATCGTCTGTGTCGGTACCTTTGTCTTACCGCTACCAAGCTAGATATAGCTGTGAAATTACATGGTACGGAGATATAACATCTGCGGAATATATTATATTTCCATACCATATCGTACGTCACCATGCAATAGGGGTACCACGGGCGTCACATGATGAGGTAGGTGCCCGAGGTGCTATTTATGTAATTAACTATTATAATTACAATCAAATGGGCCATTAGGCTATCCTTGTTTGTCATTTGAATTATATAAAAGAGTTCTTTAGAGCTGACATCCATAGCAAACACGAACGTATTATAATTTAATCAGTCAGTGCTTACATAGTGTCTAATGTTTACATTAAATTTTTAAATAATCTTACCTAAATAACTGTATTTCTCCACAGGACTTTGACCGTCTTCCACAGGTGCCAAGTAGACTGTATTGTCTCTTTCAAGGAGGTCATCCTTGGCATCAGACACGAATAAGGTGCCTCTCCAAGTATAAGGACCAGGACTGCCCATAACCAAAGTATCGTCTTCCAACAAAGAACTGCTTGTACCAGCTTGACAATACCCATATTCTTCGTGTTCTCTGAAAATAGATATTATTACAATATTACTAAAATTCTTTATTATAACCATCGCCGACACTATCATAACTTCCAATCTCTTTAAATCAAGAGCGCAACAAGAACATTTTCTCTAAATATTTCTTTTCATGGTCTACAGAGTATTAATTATAATAAGTTGTTGTACATTAAAGGTATATGAGACTACTATTGGGGGAAAACTATTGTCAGTATATCGACAATAGTATAGTATATAGAACCTAAATGATATGATTATTGATTGTTATAATTTGTCTGTGCGTTAGATCTTCCTAATAGGAGAAACGGCTAAATGCACTTTCTTCATAGATTCACTTGTGGTACAAAAATATTTATTTATACTAAATATTTACCTTACTACTGGTCTGCCTCGGCATGGCTCCCACGCGTCGATTAGTTTGAGTTCATTTGTCAACGTATAGCATAGACCTTGCCCATATTGCGCTTCGAGAACTTTTCGAATGTACCTGAAATTTATTTAAGTACCTATTCGTTTAAAAAAGAACATTAAAGGTAAAAAAAAATCACTAAATATGTCTCTTAAATAAATAATTATTTTGATATCTGCAATATTTTACATATAGTTGAAGTAGTAACAAGTAAATAAATATATTGATATATATATAAGAAAGAAAGAAATAAAATATAACCTATGGGCGCAAACAACAGCTTTTTTTCCTGGGCCCTGACTGCGTACTGAGACCCCAAGCCATTGTCCTTTCTTCTGTTCATCAGAATGTGGTTCCGTAAGGTTGTATCCATCTGGATCTACATAAATGAACTTTGCATCAATATACAGTAAATAGTTAATTTGTTTTAAAAATAGCCCAATTTCTATAGCAATATTAAATAAAAGTTATATCACATAATTACATTTCAATTATATTATCACATAATTTGCAAATAATAAATGAAGGCTCAGAAGCATGTATTAGATACAAGTTAAACTCTCATCAATCGAATATAATTGACGTAACATCAAACATATCCATCAGGTTATTTGATCCACCCAAACACAAAACATAATGAACTATAATCTACGAACGATTAATACAAATAGATCAATTATACAAAACATAATAATAATAAAAGGCAAATTAATCAAAGGTAACATGTATTAGAGATTTTTCTAAATAATGTATTGCTTATGCTTCAAAAGTCTTTGTAATTCCCACATACTAACCATATTGTTGGTAAATTCGACAAATGCAAAGCTCAAGGCGTGAATGCAAGAATAAGTCTTATAAATAATTATCAGCAAAAATAGGTAATATTGCAGATAATACAAAATCGTAATTTATCAAAGTCGTGCGAATGATTGAAGCATGTCTCAAAAGTCATATAAATTAAAGAACATGCAAATGACGGTGTCTTATCGAACTAAAATACATCATCAAACTAATATCTCTAAAGTGACAATAGGTGAGGATACTAAAGTGTCGATACTCCTGCAAACCTGAAATGAAGATACGGCGAAAACATGTGGTCTCAGGTTAATACACGTTACACCGAAGACTACGAATGTTAAAATAGAGCTGATATTGGTTCCATTCATTGGCGACTGATTTATTAGTACACCAAGTAACACCAATTATTTTTTTATTTTATGTGATTATTTTCTAAGTTAAATCTATAATGTTAATCGACCCTGTATTTTATTTTTTGTTAGCTTTAAATACTTACAATGTCCAATTAAAACCAGATATACATTGGTTTTAAACTTCACATGTTGGTTACGGATTAATTTATCAATTTGTGAGTTAATAATATTAACTAGTTTTTTTACTGTTAAAGTTTAATCAAAACTATATAATACGACCAGTCACCTCTAATTTTCTGTAATACTATTGGTAAATACGTGTTCAGCTTCTTTTATCTCTATATCTAAAGTTTTATCATTTAACTAATTTATCTAGTGTCTATGTAATTTAAAAACAGATTTCACTATTCTAGCTGATGACAACTTTATACAAATACACTTACTAAGAGTACTAAATGAGTGTTTTAGTTTAAGCAGTGAATATGTGTGCTCCGACAAGCAGTTAGAACATTCTTAAGAAATTAAAGATATTCAGGACTTACTTATTCTTATTAAAATGAAGCAACAGAAATGCAGCAATTTGTAAATAAAAATAAATAAACTATTAACATAGTTAAACGGGATTTAACTCTCATTATTTTCTGGTAAATAAAGGTCTAAAACCTCTCTCCACGTTTCACTATATTAATAATTTGTACCAAACGAAAACGAAAGATAAAAATAAGAAAATAAATAAATCCCAAATATTGTAACATTGTGCATTTTAATAAAATGTATAACGCAAAGTAAAGTTGTCAAACCACTTGCATTAGTAACGTGCATGCCGTGAGTAACGAGGAATATCTGAAACTTGTAACAGGCAAATGATTGTTATGTTCAAATTTAAAGTAAAAGTACAGCGATTAGTTGGTATTAGACAGCAAAATTATTAAGAAAAGGAGGATGAGACCACAGCTCACTTACTCGGGACTATTTTGCCGTACTTCGCTGTTTGGGGCACCACCGACAAAAGAATACAGTTTAGTTAAAACTTATATTATATACACATTTGGTTTGGCGTATTCTGCATTATGAACCTAAATCATAAAATAGTTTGGTACAACTATATCTGCATAAAAGTAACGATTTTCTTATAAAAACTTAATAAATAATTTTGTTATTTATAAACTTTTTTTGTATTTATTAACATTTGAATTACATAATCTATTACATTTCTAGCAGTGCTGTTCTAGCTCTATTAAACAGTTTGACGTAAACTGCATTTTTTATAATACAAAAATAATATTTTTCTACCAGTGATCTAATATATACACTACATATCTAATATAAGATTTAGAAATGTGTATTTATCTTCATTTAAAACGAATATGCAGTTTGTGTTGCGGCGTGATATTTCTATATTATAATTATATATATTTTATTCACATTGTTATAATTAAATAACATAAACTTACTATTGTGTATTTACTTACTGTAAAGTTACTGTTAGGTGTAAATAAATTAGTGGATAAATTCTATAATACTTATAGTACATATTTAATATTAAGTATATATTATATAAGAATTCTTAAGTTAGATATAAACGAAGAACTGAAAGTGAAGTTAGATTTTAATAAATATATGCAGTGTAATGAGCCTAAATGAACAAATTTGAATATTTTGATCTTTTTCAAATTTCGAATGTAAATATAAATGCAATACAGTGCACTAAATGCAATATAGTTACATAATACTTTATTTAAGATAAATTACCTATTAAAAAAGTGTCGAAACCAATTACACATGTCAATTATAGAATGATTCACTGATAATATAATCGTGTGTAGTTTCGACAATGCGCCGATGTTAAAATAATATTCTGTTTGGATGTACTCACTGCTCTTTCCATCTGTGATGACCTGTTCACAATCCCAGTCCGCCGATGTTAGGCCGCATTTAAACAGTGCTCCGGATTTAGTAATGTTAGGTTGTAAGTTTTTTCCCAATGGCGCACCCACCAGCAACCTGAAAATATACACAATGTATACATTAATTATTATTATATTGTATTATTATAGGTATTTTTCATTTTAACAAAAATATTATGAAGGCATTTTTCTAAATCAGAAAAAAATATAACTAATTTCAATATGTTCACCCAGTCAGAACGTCATAAAAGATTTGTAAATATGTGAAAAACCTTTTGTACACATTCGCCTGCCCATTTTTGTGTAAATTTCAATGTTCACTTTTTATTTGGAAAACGTACCTAGGTATATATATATAAGACTAGTAAAAGTGCATTGTAAATTCTTATGGTATGGGTTCATTAAAATTAACTTTATGAAATTTATAGCAGAAAAAGACCTATAAATTCTAGTAATGCCATAATAAATTAGTTGTAATAGAAAAAAATATAGGTCGATGATTATAATAAAAAAAACTTCTATAATAAAAGTTCTTGTGGCGATTAACAATGGTTAATAAAAGAAATAGATTATCATGTCGAATGTAATAAAGGAAATGCCTCGACATTAAACAAATAATTTCTATAGAATAAATAAACTCACAATTGTAATAGACAGTTAATTTAATAAAACCTGTTTTCAAGTAAAAAAGATACATTAAATGAGCGCTAACGAGAGGTTTATTATACGCTGCCGTTGAGTATTTCATTACGTACATTATAACGATGGTAACGACGATACATGGGCGCCTGCGCATGACCGCAGTACCGTTGTGCACGTAATGATTCGGGATCTTTGATTATAGAGATCGATGATGATTACACGTCAACGGGCTGCTGCCCACCGCACGACTCTTAGATAGCTATTTATGTGGTTTCCGATCTATCCTTCAGTCTCAATTCGAACTCAACCGAATCTTCTTTCGATTGAGATTTAAAAAATAAATTGCGCAAAACTATGATTTCGACTATTCAATTAATACGTAAAACAAAATGTTTGTATCCCTTTTTACGACAATTACGCGAGAGGGATGAGTTTGTAAGTAATTAATCTATACATATAAATAAAATTTTAGTGTCTGTTTGTAATATTGAAATAACCGTTTTTTACTACGTGCATATGAATATAAATACTAAAAATGAGATCATAATAAAATTTTTTTTACAATTTTTGTCTGTCTGCCTGTCTGTTTGTTCCTTCTTCTGAAATGGCTAAACCGGGGCTTTTTTTGGCAGGTTTATTTTACAAAAATAAAGTTATATTCTACGCGGACGAAGTCGCGGGTGCAGCTAGTAAATAATAAAATTTAATGTACTATAAACACATGGTGAATCATATATTTGGTTTAGACAAATTTTATACAGTATCTCATTGTTATATACGTTTTAAATTAGATTTTGCGTGATCGGCCACCAGTACTTAGTTGAATATGCAGTGCTATATTTAACATAATTGACTACGAGATCAGACTATACCTTCAGCCGATCATAGCTTAATTAGAGGCTGTACATTTGCATTTAAATGTCTACTGTACAGTCATTGTTTACCCAATAAGGCTTCTTAAATAGGTTTTCTCTAAGGCATTAACTGTTTGTAATAGTTGTTCAGTAAATATTAAGTGTGATTATGCGCAATGCAATAGTATGTAATTTTTATTTATATTATTCATCAAAAGTATACTATAAAAGTCCGGGTGGGTACCCCAGTCACCTATTTCAGCCGCCAAGCATGTTGCTTTGTAAGATACGTTTCGGTTGTAGGGTGTCATTAGGCAGGACATTACAGGTTAAGAGACCTAACATTTTAGGCTTCTGGAACGGTAACGCGTGGATGGATGGTATCACGTGTGTCGTATGAGAATAATGATTAATGTATATAGGCGACGGTTACTGTTTACCATCAGATGGGCCGTTAGCTTATTTGCCATTCTAATTACAGAAAAAACACTATTAAGGTCGTTTAATATACCTCCGAAAATAGACCCTTATTTTGTTATTGTACGATTTATTTAAACAATTGATCGATCATTTTACGACGAATCGATTCACTACGCGTTCTATCAAAATAACTGAATCCGTGGCCGTGCTCGTTCCGTATGTACGTAAGTACTTAATTTAACATTGGTCACGGATAGCGGGCCTTGTGATTGTACGACTGTACTACATGCCCTCATGCATTTAAATTATCATAAATCATTGCTAATGCCGCCGTTATAATGCAGACATTTTCATTGTAAACATAATCACATTCCTTTAAATAAGTTTTGTTTCTATAGTAATCTATTAATAAACTGTATCTAACTTACCCTACAATTTGCATAGTAAGTATCTATGTTATTATATTCACTATTTGTGTATAGGTTTTGTATTTAGTCATACACAACATTCTCTTATATTTAGTATTCTGGGAGGAGAGTTCATTAGCATCGTCTCGTCGTATTACTGACTTCTCTATGTTTTACACATACAAAATTCCTTCTTCCTTCACTATTCGCAATTTATAATTTTATAAACTCATTAAATTAGGTATAATTTTAATTATTGTGCACTTCACATTCAGAAATCATATAATAGTAACTATCACACCCACGTTCTAGAAAGTCGTTGTACTTTTACAATGAGCTTTGAGTTCTTACAATTAAATCTTCATTGTTTCACTGGGTGTTGCAACATTTTCTTATCTAAACGTTTTACAAGAGAGATCCAAGAAATCTGTACTTTCGGAACGTTAGATAAAAGCTATGGATATTCTATAACGCGTGGGAATACGAAGGCGTTCAATTTTTATAACTGCAAAAGGCAATCGCCCAAACCCTCATAGCCAATTTACAACACAAAGGGTTCATTTTGTGAAACGGTGTTCGGTGCCCACATTGTAGCAATCGATCGTGCCCTCATCGTATCTACCATTATGCGCCCACGCACTATAATAGATACCGCATAGAAAACACCTTCAATAAAATTATTATTGTAATAAATTGACATATAAAAAAACTCAAAACGCTGTAACAATCAGAGACTAATCAAACTGTTGGATAACGACTGCATATAAACAAACATTTTTGTTTGCTTTTATGCCATCAGTAACATTAACTACATATTTTGAATGTACTAAACATATTATAATATTTAATAAATATCCTTACTGGTATTAGAAATGTCTGTTGATTTAAATACTCAATTAGTAGTCAATTTGGTATGTTTTGTAAAACAGACTTATTTCTTATCATTTCAATTCATATATTGGAGTAATATGATTATAGATCATGAGTATGGATATAGGAAGTGTTAAAAAATTAGTACATAAAATAGAAGAATTGCGCGTAAAATCTACTTTCAAAGTATCTATTAATAAGTGCAGTAATCAGACAGTACTTGTCAATAGTAGTAAACATAGTGCAATTACGGTTTTTAGAATGATTTTGTTTAAAAATGAAGTTATGATTAGACTTTTTATTATCATCTTGGACTTGTAATGTAATATACTTTGATAAACAAGGCCCGATCCTTCCATTAACTATCACACAATGTAAATACCATCTATCGTATATTCTATGAAAACCGCTCCTAGTTCGCGACTAGAGTGTCGTATCCTTGAGCCTCGCCTTGGAAAGGGCGATAAATTCCCATCAAAACACTATCTATGCTTGACAATGTCTGATAATGTCACTATATTGCTCCACCATTTAGATTTCCTTTACAATAAAAGTACATTACGTGGGTGTCCATCAATCTTAAATGCACAATGTTAGGACTCCCTGAGAATCAATTAAAGATTCATGTTGTTGATTTATTTGTGCCACAATGAAAAAAATATATTCAATAATGGATTACTAAAATTTAGTAATAAAAACAGAAAATATTGATTAGTATTTACTGACAAATAGTGGCTGAAAACTTGTTCTACTAGTAAGTAAAATATAATAGTTTGGCCCTTTATTTATTTATGGTGAATATAAAAAGAATTTGGTTATTTAAAGTCTAACTGAACTACATAATTTAGTTGATATTTTTTGTAATGTTTTAAACAGTCAATTACAATATTGAATTAAAATGTATTTTATATAAATTATATTTATAAATATTTTGTTATTATTAAGTCTTCATTAAAAATGCTCCTTACTTTAAACTATAGATTTTAGTATTTATGTCATTTTTCTAAATTTATAAGTATTTATACGAAGGCTATAACATCGTTTATTTTTATTATATTGCTATCCATTACTTGTACAGTGAATTAAATATCTATGATACATTAAATTGGGATAAAGTATTATTATCTAATATTCTCTTATCTGTGGTTATTATTATGATAAAATGGTAATATAATTCAATCAAAGCATTTAATATATTAAAATGGTATTCACAACATTATACTTAAGTCGGATTATTGAAATTATTAAGTTTTAATAGTAGGCTATTGGAAAGATCAAAGAACATTCACTTGGATACCGCGGGCACACGCGGCATCTTATATCATTTTGATTACGAGCGAAGTGAATGGAATAGTTACACGTAGTATTCATGTAGGCATAGATAATATACTATACTTATTCTTGTAAGTCTATATGTGGGCTAATAATTTTGTATAGACGCTTATATAGGCATTTGTTATATTCCTTATCTTATCTGTTGCTTTTGAAATTTAAATATAAGAACAGAGCTTACAACAGTCTTATGATAAGTGGCGAGCACATGTATTATTTAAGTTTAGCATAAAAAATACTTAACTTTTTATTTACTACATACCTACTCTGTTATTATATTTTCATATTTAATTGATAAGGATCTCGATTTAATGTGTAGAATATTATTATTGCTGTTTAGTTTCGACATAAACAATTTATTTCATATAATTAGCGAAAATAAACATACAAATGGTTTTTTTACTGAGATGTAGCGAACAAATACATCTTTAAGAACGGACGACCATTAAAATTTCTGTGCACTGAAAGTGAACATAAAAGATGCGAACCATTCTTACTAATGACTACGAAAAACAAGAATGTAAGTTCTTTCGTTCCATACCAGAAATATTGGGCACGCGTTTCGTCGTGTG